TGTTTAGTAACGGAATGTTACAAGGTTCAACATTTACGAAGGCTAATTAAATTATAACTTGGCCAAACCTTTATTGGTAATTAAAGATGAGCCTTCAAGCTGACTAATCAGACATGTGTTTGGCCAATGTTGTAGCATTTTCTTGCATAGGTTTTAAGAAGTACAAGTAAAAGTTGCATAAAATAATAGAGTTCAAGCATGTAAAATCTAACCAGAGTTGTACAACATCTATTGTGGAAATATAATTATTCAATTTAGGGTTAGGGAAAATACATAATATAGATTTTACACTCAACTTCAGATATATTGAGGTAGGATTCAATCCTCCAAGGATACGTTTGCACATCTATTCAATTATTTACTAATATTAAAAAATTATTAAATCTTTTCATGAAATGAAATAATCCTATCTTTCTTAATTAAGATAAACTTCAAATCACTACTCTTTCAGTAAAATCTTCTTTTGCCAAATGGATAATACCAGTTTTCTTTAATGGACATAATGATGTTTGTCAATAACTTAATAAAATATGTAACTGAAAATTATATACATATGGCCCTAAACAAAAGTAGCTATTAACACACTGATAAATACTAGTTCAATCAATACTACTGTAGAATAGTGTTGAGGAATATATGTTAACACTTGTTTTTTGCTAGGTATCATATATTTTTATATTCTATCAAAAATATGAATTGAAAAGTATATTTTTATTATTTTAAAGAGTTGTCTGAAGGTTTTCATAGAAAAACTTTTTATTTTTTATTTTATTTATTTTTACTGTTTTAATTTAGTAGATAAATCAGAAAAAGAACTAAAATTAAGAATTCATTAAAAAGATTATCACTCAACTATTATAGAAGAGATATAGGAAACATCTCAGAGCAAGCATCTGTATTTAAACAGCTAGGTTTACATTTACAATCAGACAATCTACTCAACTTAAATTTTTCTTGGTGTGAGTTGAATGTTAAACAAGCAATAACACTTGGAGAAGCTTTTAATCACTGTTCTTCATTAGAAAATATAGAATTATGTCATAATCCAAACATGAGAGATGGCTTTAAAATGATTTGTGATGGACTGTAAACTTTTTCAGCAGGTTAAAATGAGGTTGACAGAAAACGTCCATGAACTGAAAGAAAACAAAACTTAAAATAAATTTCATTTAAATGTTAATATATGTTGAAAAACAAATTAATAGAAAAATTTTTATAATATGGAACTTTGGGTTTACAAAATAAATTGTGTATTGATTATTTGTAAACAACTATAAAACAAAGAAACTTTTTTTCAAGTTTTACAATGAATGACCAGTGTTTTTCAAGTGAAGTTTATTGATATCAGCTCCAAAAGCTGTTTTGCATTAATTTAACCTTTTTTAAAATTTTTCAAAATCCAGATCATGTCTGCCTCCCTCTTTAACTCATCAATCACTAAATAAAAAGAAACATTTTCTCCAACAATTTTATTGAGCCTTTGATGATAACCTTCCAAATCTTCTATATACTGAATTTGTTGCAGAAGCATTTCTATGTAAACAATTACTGTTGTTAGGCCTACACAGTATGTGTCAGCAAAATCATAAGAAAAGTACACACAACTAGCATCAGAGATAGGCAAATTCTTTCACAATCTCTCAAACCTATTCGTATTAAAGTCGCCATTTGAAATATTTAAAATATCAAAGTTTATGGCATAGTATCTAGCATTTCTCAACACAGGAACTTTCACAATTTGACCAGTAGGCCATTTAGGAGTTTGAATATCTAATAATGACTCTTTGAATGATATAAATTCATAATACTTCAAAAGATAAAAAATAGATAAGCAATTTTTCAATATTATAAGATAAAAAAAACCTGGTTTTATTGAATTGAATAAAATGGCTAGAGATTGAAAAACAAGAAGAATTTGTAATCTTCCAATTGAAACCATCTTTGCTGTTTTAAAGTTTTACCAGTTTACTTAGCTGATTTGGCTCAAATTTTGTATAGGTGTTCGTTTGTCCCATATCAAAGCCTAAACCAAATTTCAAGGGAATCTGAGCAGTTTGAAATTTTCGATAATTTCACTGACCAACTTACAAGTGGCAGACACTAACATTCGACCTTTAGGTATACCAAACCTATCAATAATCAGTCTGGTGGCGATTGTATTGAGGCTTTTCCTCTCAGTTGACAAAGGAGGAATACCTTCGAATTCTTGTGAGATTTTAAAGAAGGTGAGAAGTAGAATTGCTGCAGTTCAGATTCTCTTCACTTTTGTTGAGAGTTTGAATTTGTGGTGTTGGAGATACAGCGTAGCTTAGGCTAGAAAGGACTACTTAAGATAGTCATTCCTAATAGCCACATTCACCAGAAACCTAAAAAGTTTGCATTGTGTGTGCTGTGTGTGCATTAAGGGGATTGCCAGTTGTTAATTCCCTAACACTTAAGAACTAACCTAGCTCTTGCCTCTCCCTAACCTTTTTGACTAGTATGGAAGCCTCCAAACTACAAATCAAAAGCTACTTTACTCATCATTACCAGTTTTCAATCTGAAATGTTACTATCAAAAATATCACGTGGAGGCTTTTGCTTTTAGTTGTTTTCAAGTATGACTATAAACTTATATTTTATAAGTTGTTTGGCTTTATTCATCAAATTACTTAATTACAATTAGACGCTCTATAGAGACGGTCTTAGAAATGAGTTGCATTAAAGAAACACAATTATATTTTGCCCTTTTATAGACACGATTCTTTTCTTTCAATTAATATTTTTTATGTTATAATGGCATATTTTCATATTTTCTTCCGTAATTCCAAAAGCTTTGATGTATACCGCAGGACAATAATCTTGTCCACAGTTACAGGAATATTTGCATGATTGATTGCCATCTCCACCAATTTGTTGGCAACTATAGTATTCCCCAAGAAAAGTTGGTTCTATTTGTAAATCTTTGGGAATGTATGCAATTACTCCAGAATTGTTTATACCTTTTTTTCCATCAATACAATTTTGTAGATTTTGGCCTTTTATTGTTATTTCAAAATTTCTCAATTCAGAATCAACTGATGGCCAAGGAATTCTCAAATTAAATACTTGATTTGTCAATACATCAATACAAGTTTCTGCTGCTTCGTCATCCATTATTTTCTGCAATTTTTCATTCTTTCTACTTTTTACATTGTCAAAAATTGGTCCATTTGTACAAGAATGAGATTTTACATATTTCCTATTGTCAATGGAATTATAGTCGCATGTCTCTGCTACAGAATTCAAAATTCCACATTGCTTTGACCTAGAATCTGGAATGTAAACAATCATATCACAATCTGGCTGATTATCACATTTCTCCTTGCATTCTATTATATTAGCTACTGTTTCCTGATCAGCCAATCCACATTGCGCCTTGAAGCAAGTTTGCGATTTTTGAGCCAGTCTGTGGTAGGTAACCTTGTTCATCATATTAACAGTACCAGTTTCATTGCAATATTCTGAAGATAGAATGCATAGAGTTGTTGACAAATCATATTGAAAACAACTGCAATTTGATATTGCTAGACATTTTCTTGAACAATCATTCAAATTAATTGCACTGAAAGCAGACAATGTTGATGTTGTGGTTGTAGTTCTGGTGATCTTTATAAATCCAGGTAGAAAAGTATTGTCATAGTGACATTTACCATCAACAAAACAACATCCGTATCCTTCGCAATGATCCTGATCCGTTGTCGATGATCCGCAAAGTTTGTCAGTAACATTTGTACACTGTTCATTATTAAATACAGGATCTGTTAAGAAAATATTCGGTGGGAATGACTAATGAAATACTATAGAGAAGAAGAATTTACCACAGATTCCATCTTTTCTTCCGTAATAGGCAGCATAGGACCATTGTTCAAACAATTCAGGATTAGAGTACTTATCCACATAATTCAGGTTACAAAGCGATGAAAAGGAATAATAATCAATAGACCTTGAAAACAGTGAATTATTAGAATTATAATTTGCAGAAAAAATTTTCAAAAAAAAATAATTGATTACTTGCAATTAGAAGTTTGTAAACAACTCAATTTGCAGGTTTCCAATGTCACACCATGTAAAGGATCGCCAACATTGTGATTTTTATTCGATAACCAGAAATTTCTTCGGAAAAACACACTGCATTGCAAATGGAAAAATAAATTTAGTAATAATTAAAAGAAAAACTTAAAAAAGTAAATTCTACTGTTTCTCCTTGTAGAAACTTTATCCAATGCAGCAAATAATACAATAAAAAGATAAGAAAACTTTGCAGTTTTTTTCATATTTCTTTTACAGAATTTTTTTTTTTCTTAAAAATATGCTTTGATTTTAGGTTGAGTTTTTTTTTTGTTGGGGAAAATGAGTAATTTCTAATATTTATATCATTGAAGGTGTCAATGCGTAGGATGTCATGAATTTTTCAAAATTCTTTTCTTTGTTTTCTTTTGAATTAAAAATGACGCAATTTTCACTCGAAAATACTTCAATTATAAATTAGAAATGTTTTTATCAATTTGTATGATCTATACAAAAATCATTGTCAAGTAATATTCATTGAAAGAATGAGATTTAATTAATTATTAAAGGAAACTTTCCTTTTGTTTAGGAAAGTGAGCAGAAAATTAATGGCATACCACGCAATCCTTATCAAATCACTATGGAAAGTTTTATTAAAAAAGAAGACAAAAAAAAATACGAATTTTTATGACCTTTGAAAAGTAATTAATAATTGATGAGCACAGAGCTATTGAATTAATCGGTGATGGAATATGGGACCAGTCGAAAACGGCCATAAATGAAATATTTGAAAGTTAGGAAATAACTTTCAGCCTGGGAAATGGCTAGGAGGAATAAGATAACTGTTGATATGTTCTTAGGAGGGTCCCATCTAAGGGTTAGGGGTATTCAAAAAGGTTAGGCAAAAACAAGGGCTGGGTTAGGGTTAGGGTAAAACCATACATTTATGGCCGTTTTCTACCACATCCATGGAATATAAATATGTATATATATATAAATATATATAAATATATATACATAGGTGAATGAACAACATCGAATCAGATTTGAGGGAAACAAAGAAAGATTATAAAATGAACATATGTAATAGATTTAAACGGGCCTCGTATTGTTTAGTTACGTAGACATAGAGTTTTGTTTCAAATCCAGCCCCGCTCACTTGTTGAAGTAGAAAGTCATGTCTATTACCATTATTTTTGGAGCTATTGTCCTACTTTTTATAATTATAAGGCATATAGAATGGTTTATAAGATCATTTTATATAGGTGATATCGAAAACAAGTTTGTTTTGATAACAGGATGTGATAAGGGTGAGTAGTCTTATTCAATTATGTTTTTAATACTAAACGTTCCCTCCTTCCTTTCTCTCTCTCTCTCTCTCTCATACTCTCTCATTTAGGCCTCGGAAATATGCTTGCCAAGCGTTTAGATGGCAAAGGAATGAATGTCATTGCCACCTGCCTTACTGACCAGGCAGCCAAGGAACTCAGCGATTCGTGCTCGAAAAAGTTAAGAACTTTTGTTATGAATGTTGTTAACGAAGACGAAATTGATGAGCTAAAAGAGTTTGTAGAGAGAAGAGTAGGTAAAAATGGTTTATACGCTTTAGTGAATAATGCAGGAGTAGGTAGAAGAGGAAGTGGTTCTCTTGAAACCTATTTACAGAAGAATTTACAAGAAATGTTGGCAATAAATTCCATTGCACCAGCAGTATTCTGTTTTAAATTTCTCGAGTTGTTACATATAGGAAAAGGTAGAATTATTAACATGTCGTCAGCTGGTTCAAGGTCACCGGATATAGATTTACTTTATGGGATGTCTAAACGTTGCCTCGAAGCTCTCTCCGACATCTTGGGGTAAATTTTTTCAATAATTACTTATTCATAAGAGTGAATGAATGAACAAATAAGTTCAATAATTAATCAATAGATTTCTTTTGAAACGCCACAACTGGAATGTTTCCGTTCATACTATTCAACCAGGAAGATATGTAACTGACATCTACGGTGGAGACAGCCTTCTCCAAGACCTCGAAGAGAGCTATCAAAGAGCATCAAAATGGACCAAAGAAAAGTATCCAACACAGAAAGAATACTCCAAGGAATGTCAGTATTTATTTAGATTTTCTTTTTCTTTTCTAAAAAGAGATCAATGAAATTGCAGTTTCAAAAGAATACGAAGAGTTTCTTTATTTCGCTTCGAAAAAGGTGTACGAAATAACTGACGCCTACGAACACTCAATTCTTTCAATATGGCCAAAAAATCGTTATACCGTTGGTTTATTGGCGAAATATCTTATCATCCCTCTAAGCTACCTTCCAACTACAATTTCAGATTTTATCTATCTTCTTTAGCCATTTTTCTTCATTTTTGTCTTTGTCTTTATTGTGTTTGGTCTGCAGAAAATGTTGGAGTTAAGGTTTAAAGGGATTATAAAGCAAAAGAAAACAAGAATACACATGTTTTTGTAACAATTTTACATATTATAATTTTTTGATCGGCGATGATAAGATAGATTATACACAGTTTATGAAAAAACTTTCCCCTATAATCGATATGATAAATTACTTTTATCATAATTCAAAATCTCTTCCCTTTTTTCAAATCAATGTGGCGTAGCATCTGCTGTTGTTTGTTTAAACCGAAACAAGCTGTTGTTATTGTCAGATAGAGATAATGATATGACAAGGTCACTATTTTTCAAGAACAGAAAGAATAAATTGAGCTACTGCCCAACAGTGGCAAAATGTTTAGTATTGAATAAAACTATTATCTCATCACCATTCTTCTTCCTCCTTGTTTATTCTATGAACAGAATTTAATAGGTTGCAATATTGCTGCTATAATTCATTAGGGCTAGGGTTAGTCAAGGTTAAGGTCAATATGTAATATTAAAATTTTATCATTACTTTGTCAAGTAACCCTAAAAATTGGATAGTCAAGTTTCTTGCTTTTAAAAAGGTTAATTGAATTAATACTTTGTCAAAGGTTTTGTTCTTCACTTAAACAATAAGACTTTAAATGAAGTTCCTAACCCTAACCCATTGAAAAATTATTTGAAATAAAGAATAATGTAATAAAGAAAATTTGTGAAGGACTTGAAAACTCATCAAATACTTTGATGAAACTTGATTTCAGTGTTTGTTATTTACATGAAAAACGTTGTAAAGTTATTGAAAATTCACTGGATAAAATATAAAAAAAAGATCCAATCCACATGAAAAAGGCAAACAATATCCAAAAATTAAAGACTGAAATATTTTGAAGATGGATATATTTCTGACATATTGGGATCAAGCTACAATTAAAAACACTGGTAAATATCAATAAAGTCATTAATTTATAGTCCTTGAAATAGATGAATATTAATTCTACAGGCAAGGCTGACAGGATAAAACATATGTTAAAAGTAATGCTGAAAGTAATAAACAGGGTTAGAAACAACCAAAAATATAAAAATTTGATATTACAGTACTTTTTAGCATCATTATATCCAGTCTCATTATTCCCGTGTAACATATGTTCTATATAAGTATGAACATTAAAAAAAAAGAACCATCATAAATGGAGTTACACCTGTTGTTACTGATATCAAAAATGCCAACAACATCTTAGTCTTTGACATATCTCTGAACTGACAGTTTTTGAATAAAAACTGATATAAATTTACAAAACAACCACTTTTGGGGAAATGTATCAAAGGTCACGTGAAGTTTTGTATTGGAAAGCAACATAAAAAAATCATAAAGGCTCGGATTCCAATGAAAATTTTGAATAAACATTTCTGGAATAGATATGTCTCACCAGTCTAATGTCTTTTTTTGTTGTCTAATGAGGAAAAATTTGAGCTATTTGCATAAACTTATGAATATTGTGGAAAAGGGGTTAGGGTTAGGTCAGGACACTATCTATTTAATATGTCTTGTAACCAAATCAAGAACAAGAATTTAAAAAAAATGCCCAACATATCTTCAAATTTTCAAGTCTAAAATGACAATATTTATAGGGTTATCAATTACGTAATACTTTAGGGTTAAAAGTAAGGGTCAGGGTAAAACTTTAAATTCATGCACCTTTTCTGTCATAACCTTGCCTAAATTTGGCAGCGAGCCAAACTATCATTACGTCAATATTGTTACATTTTTTATGACTGTATAGGGCAATACAGAATGGACTAATGACTGTTACTACTCAATAGGCAGTAAAGGGAAAAAGAAAGAGTGCTTATGTCAGAATATACAATTAACTTAACATTTCTTTTAAAATACTCTTTTTCCATGTAGCAAGTTCTTATTTTAATTGCTTTGGTAGATAAAATGGAGTTGGCTTGAATAATCCAGCATTCACAGCAACTTGTACAACTTCTGAAACATGTGTGACAAACATTTAACTCTGTTTAGATATCTAGCAGTTGTTTCAATGGCTGTCACTGTTGTATCAGTGACATCATTTTATGAATCAGTGATGCAGATTGTTATCGCATCTGTTAATGATACAGTTTATTTATGGTCATCTATGCTTTTGTAATTAATCTTCCTCTCTTATAAAAATAAATGGTTTAACCTTTCATTCCTGGTTTAATTATCAAAATCAACATAGTTTTCAATGAAAAGGTCTTATAAATTAGACTATAATCTTTTTCAAATTTTTCCCTACATGGAAGATACTTAGATAAATAATTAAAAAAATTTAATTATCAACCTATGGGGGAAAGATCAATGACTATTCTTTGGCTACAACGGAAATGATCCTCATTTCAGAGATGTTCATTAGAAAAAAAAATACAAAGATTATAAAAAAAAGTGTTACTAAATAATACAGTATCCACCAGTTTAACAATGGATATGCTGTACATTTTACAACCATATAACCATAAAACCATAGGCGTCTGCTTCTAAATATTTTCCAGCGTAATTTTATAAATCAAATACATAATTAAAAAGGATCCTTGTAATGTCTGTTAGTTCACTAAAGAATATCTCAATTAAAGGTGTGAGTAAAAATTTAAACTCTATCATTGAATTCTGCAAGAAAGAAGATGTAAAAATACCTTTCAAACTCGGAAATGAAATATTTGAATATTTCTGCACTGATAATAGTTCACAATCATACGGAAATGTTAATATATTTTCTTGTGATATTTTACCTTTGACCTCTGTCACCATAAACAATAAAGAAAAGCTGAGACTTGAAAATTTAAGATTTTTGAAAGGTCATTCATTAAAGACATTGAACATTTATAAAGGTTCATATAATGAATTACCAATCAGTTCAAATATTGAAAATTTGAAATTGGTGAGCACAACACTGCCTTCCAGTGTCTTTTGTCAATTGGGGAAGGATTTGGCAGATTGTTTCTGCCTAACATCAATAATAATAAGAGATATATATCATATATCTTTTTCTTCTTTTGAGAATTTATGTAATGGATTAAAATCTTCAAATTGTTCATTAAAAGAAATTGACTTTTCATATTGTGGATTATCAGAAGAAAATGGAAATCTGTTGGGTAATCTATTAACAGAATGTAAAACTGTAAATATAATAAACTTAAGTTATAATCAACAATTTAAAGATGAATGTAAAAAAATATTTTGTGGATTAAAATCATCGTCTCTGTTCTTGCAAAATATCAAATTAAATAGTTGTAACTTATCGAAGAAACAAAGCTTTTGGCTTGCAGATTTATTATTTGAATGTAACGGATTAACAAATATAAGTCTCAATGGTAATAGGCATATGTTGGAGGGATTTAAAAAAATATGTAAAAGATTAAAATATTCATCAAATACGTTAAATTCTATAGATGTTGGTATGTGTAATTTGACAAAAGAGCAAGCATTTTGGTTAAGTGATTTACTCTTTGAATGTAAATCATTAAATTATATAGCTTTTAATAATAATAATGTTATGAAAAATGGACTTCAGAATATATTTGAAGGATTAAAATCATCAGCATTCTCTCTACAAGAAATTTTATTTTTACAAGAAAATTTCAAAGAAGAACAGGCCAGTTGGATGGGTGATCTATTAAAAGAATGTATAGGCCTTAAGACAATAAATTTAAACTTTATGAAAACTATTGGTAAAGGATTTGAAAGTATATGTAATGGATTAAAATCTTCAGCCACTTCTCTGCAGAAAATGGACCTATGCGGTTGTAATTTATCAGAAGAACAAGGAATTTGGTTGGGTGATTTATTAATTGAATGTAAAGTGTTTAATCATTTGCATTTGGGTTATAATAGCAATATAACAGATAATGGATTAAATAGAATATTTAAGGGATTAACTTCTTCATTAGAAACTTTAGAGTATATTGATCTATCTGGCTGTAATATAACAGAAAATCAATGTTTTTGGTTAGGTGATTTATTACAGAAATGTATAGGAAAACTTGAAATTAACTTGACTTCAAATACTCAAATGGGAGAAGGATTTAAGAGGATATGCTATGGATTGAAATCTCCTTCTCTACAAAGTATCCACTTCACTTTTTGTAATTTATCAGAAGAACAAGGAATATGGCTCAGTGATTTATTATTTGATTGCACAATGCTAACTGCTATAAATTTAACACAGAATGGTACTTTGAAAAATGAAATTCTCAATGTCTTTAATGGATTAACATCTTCATGCAACTCATTACAACAAATTAGTTTGGCTGAATGTAATTTAACAGAGGAACAAGGAGTCCATTTAGGTAATTTATTACTTAAGTGCAAAAGACTAACTCATATAAATTTGACTAATAATAAAATATTATCAAAAGGATTTAAGAGAATATGTAATGGATTGAAAATGTCATGTTTTACTTTAAAACATATTAATTTATCATATTGTGATTTATCAGAGGAACAAGCATTTTGCTTAGGTGATTTACTATCAGAATGCACAGCTTTAAAAGATATACATTTGTGTTCTAATTGCAATATGAAAAACGGATTTGATAAAATATATTCTGGATTAAAATCATCCAAATTCACTTTACAAAACATCAGTATCCTTCAATGCGATTTGTCAGAAGAGCAAAAGCTTTCGTTAAACAATTTAGCACCTACAATACAAGCCTAAATTAGAGAATATTTGACATTTTATTGGCATGAAATAGACATAAACATAAACACAAAAGATGCTTAAATAATAGCTTTGATATTATGTATCTTTCAAGGTTAATTGTTTTAATTTCTTATTAATAAATAATAAAATATAATTTCACTCTGTTATCGTTTCACCTTCCTGTCTTTACATTCTAGAATTTTTAGGATAATAATGATTTTTCAAAACTATCAATATTTAATTGTAAAATATTAAATAGCAATTTTGAACACTAACTTTATTACTGTTGACAGAAGTTTCTATTTTTAGAATCTATTGGGTAATACTTTGACATGTTAAAATCATGATGTGACTTTCATGCATGATTATATCTTTTAGAGATATTGTTCTCTGAAGTAGTAGGCCAAATTTCAATATTATATTGAACAGTATTATCATTTATTTTAACTAATCTGTTAAAAGATTAAGATTAAAATAATGTATTCAGTATTCAGTACAAAATCAGAAATTGCGTAATAAATAGTTTTGATTTTATTGGGCAATATTTCGAAATATTATGTTTTATGTCAATATTATGACGTGTATTTTATCAATATATATATATATAAAGAGAGTGAGAGAGAGACTCAGAGATATCATAGTCTATTTCAGTTGTAGTGTCAACAGCAAAGGAGGGAAATAATGGACAAAGCAGAAGCTTTGAAATGGAAAATTTGTCTTGGAGTAGTAGCGAATTCATTACAGGTTCCTGGAGAAAGTGGGAATACTGCTAAGTGGAAATATCAAAAAGAGAAAATATCACCAAATTGGCAAAAATATCCTAAGGAGAAGTCATTTACAATTTGGAGCAAACGTCCTCAAATAAGAGAAAAAGTCCCTTTGAGAAGACGCTCTGAACGAGGAAAAACTCAAAAGAAAAGATAATGCAATACTTTTTTACTTCACAGTTGACTGTATGATTCTAAACCTTGTTTACAATTGTTCTATTTGAAACATTTTGTGTGTTTATGATGTAAAACAATTACAATTTCGAAAAAAAAAATGGTAATATGGACACTGTAAAAATTTCAGAATCATATTTTATTTTCTTTTATCAAGTCAACAGTGTATAGGCTTAAAAATAGGTATATAACAAGTTTATTCTCTATATATTATAGAAAATGTTAAATCTAAATATATATTTAAAAAGTAATTTGAGCAGAGGATATATTTTAAAAGATAAATAGCATCGCAGACAAGTAGATTCAAGGGTTACAGGTGAAACCATAGCCATTGGTGGTGAATCTCTTGCTCTGACCAAGTAAAACTGTTGCTGTTGATACATCATTGGAAGAACACTTTGTAGCTCTACAGAAACTTATGGAAAGAATCAAGGAAAAAGTCTTTAGATTTAAACTGAGCAAGTGTGCATTCTAACAATAATCAGTTCAATTCCTTGGTCATAGAATTACACAGAAGGGTATTGAAACTGATCCTGAAAAGATTCAGAAAATAAAATATGCCAAATTACCTATGTTTGCAGATACTTTATTAAGTTTTGTAGCATTTTGTGGTTATTACAGAAGATTTATCAAGGACTTTGCAAAAATTACAAAACCTTTGAGAGAGTAATTAAAATTAGATCAAAAAACTGAAAAATTGAAATGGACTAAAGAAGCAGAGGAGGCTTATCAGATACTAAAGAAATCCATGACAGAGCCACCTATACTTCAAATACTTGATTTTACCACACCATTTTATTTAACAACAGATTCTTCCAATTATGCAGTTGGTGCTGTTCTGGAACAAGAATGGGAAGAAGATGGAAAGAAAATAAGAAAACCAATCTCTTTTGCTTCCAACCTTCTAATCAATACACAACTAAGATATGCAGCTTATCAAAAAGAATCTTTTGCTGTGTATAGGGCTGTAAAAAAATTCTCCCATTATTTGCAGTATAAGAAATTTTTTTTTATAGTGACCACCAAAGTTTAGTACAAACATTTGTACAAAACAAACTAAATTCAAGTACTGTTAAATGGGTTATGGCACTTTTGGATATGGATTTTGAAATAATATACAGTACAGGTAACCTATTTTTGAATGCCCAGCTATTTTCTATATTAGTTAAATTATTTTTTATTTAACATTAACTTTACAATCCAATAATTAGAAATGGCAATTGCCACTTTGTAATCAACATATGCAATTAATTAAATCTTCAAATTTCACTGTTTGAGTAACAAAAAAAATTTTATTCTGAAAAAATCACGAAAATTTATTTCAAGAATTGAAGTAGGATAAGAATTTTAAAAAAAGTTAAAAAGTGCCCAGAATTAGTTTGGATATGAGAAAATTGGTTGTGGTAAAGAGGAAGGAGAAGATGTCAATGAAGGAAATTGCAAAACAATTAAAAATTTCCAAGGGATCTGTGCATTATATTATAAAAAAGTTCCAGAAACATGGAACCATAAATAATTTATCCAAATTATGTACCCCAAGGCTTTTAAGAGAAAGTGAAGAGAGAAAAATTAATCAAATTTGTAAGAAAAATCCATTTTTAACTGCCAGGAATGTGCTTGAACATTCGGGACTAAACACAAAAATTTCACTGTCAACCTGCAAAAAGATTTTGCAGAAAAATGACCTTAAAGGCTATGTTGCAACCAGTAAGCCGGCACTAAGACCTTACCATGGAAGAAACAGAAAAGCATTTTGTAATTCGATGCTAGACAAGAGTCAAGAAGATATAAGTGAAATTATATTTTCGGATGAAAGTCGGATAGAGCTATATCCAAAAAGGAGAATATGGGTCCATAGGGGCATTGACAAACGGTATGATCCAAAATACACCAAAAAAGCTATTCAAACAGCTAATGCTTCAATATCAATATGGGGGTGTATAAAAGCTGATGGGACAAGAGCTATAAAGCTTTATAATGGGTATATGTACAGCATTCTATATCAAGAAATTATTGAGGAGAAGCTCTTTCCAATTTTTGAGGTAGGCAACCTGCTTATGCAGGATGGTGCCAAATGCCACACATCCGCCTCTACAAGGAGGTTTCTGGAAAGAATCAATATTGAAATTTTGGAAGACTGGCCTTCCAGAAGCCCAGAATTGAATATTATTGAAAATTTATGGGCTTACTTAAAAAATAAACTGCAGACCCATGTTTTACAGACCATTTGTGGAGGGCAGTAGAAGAGGAGTTTAATAACATACCAAACTCTTATATTACAAATTTATACAAAAGCTTCCATAAAAGAGCCAGATTATGTCAGAAAAAAAAGGATATAATATAAGATATTAAAGAAAAAGAAAAAGTGATTATTTGAAGTAGAATAATGTATATGTTAATAAAATGTAAAAATAAACATATTTCTTGCCTTTTCCAACAACAATTTTATCAGAATTTGTAAAGTTCAAAAATAGGATATCAGGCACTTTTTGTGATTTTTTCAGATTACAAAGTGGCAATTGCCATGTCTAATTAACCATTTCCAGATGTTTCATGAAGACAACTTGGACCAAATTATCTGGCTTTGCTAAATAATTTCACTAATATGGTTCCCAGTAATGGGATGTATTATACTGAAGACGATTACACTGAAATTCAATTTAATGGTAATGATGAAGAATACGCCTTCTATGTTGTCGTTACAAACTGTAAATTTGATTCAAACTTTCTAAAACAATTTTGCTTGTCAACATTTGAAAATGGTATTGGCCTTATCAAATTCTTTTTTCCAGCCAAAGGGGAATATAGTATCAATATCTTTTCAGATAAAAGAAAAATACAATTTCCATGCAATTGTACATGTGTTGCCAAAGAAAAAAACCAAAGAAAATTAGCTATCCTTCTGTATGTTCATATATTGTTGTTAGTACTCAACAACCAAAACAAACACCAACAATATTTCCTGAAAATGATGTATATACAATTGGTAAACAAAATCATTTTTTAAAAATGGGATTAAGAGTTGAAGATAATTTTCATTCATTTCAAAAATGTAGAAAATCAATTCAATTTCAATTTTTCAAAACTAAACCATGCCAATTCAATATTGAATTATTTTCATTTAATGATCACGAAATGAAAATTGATAGAAGCCTTTATTCATTTATTCAAAATTCTATTTCATCTGTTCAGTTTTTTTTGAATTTTCCATCTAGAGAAATGTACAAATGTCTCATTTATGGAAAAGAATTAAATTCTAAAAAGAATAGCAAACTGCTCTATATTTGCTATTTTGATGTTATTGAAGAGTTTTCAGATGCTTTTCAATTTCCACAAACAACTGATCAATGGAGAAATAGTGAAATAAATTGCATCATTCAACCAAAATGGACAATTCATTGTACAACAACTGCAAAATTCCAAATTCAAGGAGTTCAATGCTGGGAAATGATTGCTTATCTTTCCACCAACAAAAACCATGTATTAACATTTAGCTGTGACAATGATATTTGGTCATGTGATGTGGATATTGGTGAAAAATTGGGATATTTAATAATAGGGATAATATTAAAAAAAAATCAAAGACCTTTATTGAAATTTTAAGATATAATATCTATGAGATGATTGCAGCAGAGTCTGAAATCAAAAGTGAAGAAGAGGAAGAAGAGGAAGAGGAGGAAGAGAAGGAAGAAGAAAATGAAGAGGTTGTTGAGACTGAGAAAATTTCAAATGACATTGTACCAATGGAAGAAATTGATTTTCTAAACTAAATGGAAAAAATTGTCTATATAAGTCCATTCATTGATGAGGAAGGTAAAGAAGAGGAAGATGAAGAGGACACTAAAAATGAAATAGTTGTAAGTGCAATTATTCAATTCACCCAAAAATTTCTCTTAATTTCTGTCAATATTAGGAAACAAGTACTCATTCTTTACAAGAACAAACAGCTGATGATGTTACTGATGATGAACCAATTGAAGTAGAAGACCCTGATAAGTTGAATGAAATAAAGAAAAGTTTGTTTTTGTCAGTTTTTTGACTAATATTTGTTTTTAATTTGTGTGCCATTTTTTAGAATTGGCAGAAGCAGTTGACGATATAGATTATGACGCATTGAAATCAATTTTAAAGATAGCATCAATTAAACCAATTTGCTATTCATTAAAGAATGAACTAGCAGAGGCAAACAAATTGATGGACAACTTAAAATCAATCAAAAGTTTACAGTATAGAATTCTTAAACTGGATCAGAGATGTATTGCTGAACTACACAATTACAGTACTCCACCGACAATTGTGCATACTGTTATGAAATCAGTACTACTCATCTTATCAGTTCCAGAATCGGAATCTGAACATTGGAATGAATGTCAAAAATATATTAAATTTGTTTCATCAAAATCTATATTAAAGAAGATAGATAAGTTGGAAATATTAAAATTGCACCCTAGTATTGTACTCAGGGCTAATAACATAATATCTTCTATAAATTTACAACAAGTAAAAGAAGCTAGTGCAGGTGCAGCTGCATTCTTTCTTTGGATTAGTCACAGTATATCAGTCTATACAAATGTTCATAAAGCAAGGATGTCAAAATTTCAACCAGCTGGCATTGCATTGCAAAAGCAGATATTTGGGATAAAATAGGCCTACAAATACACTGTGATGTTTTGATTTTGATCAATTGATGAATAAGTTGATGATGAGAAGGATAGGGAATTTTTAAGAAATATAGAAAATATTGAAATGATAATAAATTATAGGCCTAATCTAATCTTTTTCACCTTAGTAAAACATATCAACATGTTTTAAATATTATTTTTCTTCATTAAATCATAACAACTAAAACAATAAAATTTATATAAATTATACTTTGTTGTATTATAAATGAAGGAATTTCTGCCATATCACAACTGCATTCGTCTTTTCAATCCCCTTCAGTCAATTGGTAATCCAATTTATGGAAAAAATTTCAAAACTAATAATATAAATAATTTATATCTAACTGAGTAGTAGAAAATATATAGATAGTCTGTTCAGGTTTTCCAGTTAGATCATAACAAATATATATAAACAAAAGCTACATGTAATCAAGAGTGCTATAATACAATTGTTTGATCTTGTCTTTCACTTGTGGATAAAGGGGCATATGAACCAGATGCAGAAAGTTCTTGTTCACGTTGTCGAGTTGCTGAGGAAACTCTACAAAAAAAATATCAAATTGAGTTAAGAGAAAAGAAAGAAAAGAATTTTAATTAAACAATGAAAGTGTATGAAGTTTTAAAAGAAAAATAAACTTTATTTTACATTCACCAATTAATATTGTTGTTCATCTCCAGCATAGATGTTTGGCTTTTACTTGAAAATGTATTTGAAAGGCATTATTTGATTTTTTGATCATAATAAATAAATATACGCTATTCCTGTTCAAATTGTGATGACTATTGAACTGTGCATTACTCACACATGGCGTTTTCAACAACCCACTTGGCTGATAAATGTTGATGATATTTTAAAACCATTTAAAATATCCAAATATCTAGGTGTAAAATAGCTTTTGATTTATAGTTAGCTGGGTTCCATCTAAGGGTTAGGGCTAGTCAACAAAGTTAAGGAGTGACAAGGGCTAGTTTAGGGTTATTTATAAATTTAATAGTTATATTCAAAACTTACTTTACTCCTCCTAACCATTTTTCAACCCGAAAAGTTGCTTTCAAAAATCTCATTTTGGGACATCCATTCTAGACTAGTTAACATCTCAGGCTGACAGTAAACATTCTTTTGTTACATGTTTTGCAATTTAATTGTTTAAAAATGGTATACCCCTGCACTTTCTATTGAAAAGGTTGTTACAAAAACAGCATTTATGTATTGAGTGTGCTGAGCTTCTATCTTTAAGAAAGTAATTAGAAAACTAAGCTATCAACCATTGATTAGGAGAAATTGGAACTGGTCCAAAAGTCAACAATAGCCAAGTTTGACCTTTTAATAACCTTAAGCTGGCTAGTAAATTAATGTTGGTAGGTAGTTGAAGTAAAACTAGTGTATTGGTGTGCTATTGTTAAGTATTCATAGGAAACAGTAATGAGTTTTATCTACAGTTTTCTTAAAGGCATCTTTATCAAACTGAAGTGCACATTTATTAAAAGATTTTTGATAAATATAGATTTAAACAATAAAACAAAACTGAAATTGCAGATATTGGAGTTTCTACTTTCATTATTTCATCACATATTTTATTATTCTGTACAATTTTATTAATCAAAAGCAATTGTGACTGTTATCAAATGGTTTATGGGCGTTTTAAAAAATCATAGGCCTAATCAAGTTTCTATATAAAATATCAGAAAATTTGTAGACTGTACAGTCAATCATGAGTAGACTAGTTCAATTTATGGAGAGAACATCAATGGACTGGTATGAATATGTTAATTCCTTAGAATATCGATTTCAATATTTGAATAAGAATTTTTTTTTAATTTGATAAAACGTCCTCAAAAATGTTATGAAATACAATAGGAGTTGACTTTTTCACCATAATCCATGAAGTCAATGTGAATTTATCCTGAATGGTCCCAAAAAACTGTGCACATCAGTTTTTCAGCTGATTTAGTCATTTTTAGCTTTTTTCCAGGTGGCAATGATGTGTGTTTGTAGGTTAGGGAAGCCCTCTTTGACTCAGGCTCAGAGAGATGAACCCAATATTCATCCCCAGTTACTATTCAAAAAATGCTTCTTTTTCTGCCATGTACCAATTAAGTAGTTCAATACAATGGCTCACCCTTACCTCTTTTTGATCCTGATTAAGATCATAGGGGATCCATTTAGCACAAATTTTTCTGTACCCTAGCTCCTTAATCATCTTCCCAACAGCCTCTTGACCAATATCTAATTTTTTGGCAATTGCTCTCTGAGATGTGTTTCAATCTTTCCTGATAAGCCTATCAACTGATTCTTTATTTTGATCTGTTAGAGCTGTCTTTGGACGACCAGATCTTGGCAAGTCGTCAAGATTTTTTCTTCCTTTTTTTATTTTAATAGCCCACCTTCTTACTGAAGATTCACTCAGAGTTTCATCCCCAAAATAGCTTTTTAACCTTGTGTAAATATTCTTTGAAGAGGCCTTCTCATGAACTAAAAATGCAATAGTTTTTTGCTGATCTGAACATGTAGACATAACCTGCTGTTGTTTGCACTGAAATAATTTTGTAAAAGTAAAGAAGTTGTAAAGAAGTTAAAGAAAGTAACCTTGCCTATTGCAAAGGAATCAACAAAAGATGAGTAAAAGTTACCCACAAATTTGTTGAAGAAAAATTGTTGCCAAGAACAGATATTTGGTTCCAAGGACCTGAAGGAAAGCAGTTCAAGTTGACTAAAAGAAAATAGGATATATCCTACTAGAAAGAGTTATAAATACAAAAGAAGAAAGAGAGATAAAAATAAAAATCACCAAAGTGGAACAAGGGCACATGGAAGAACCTATAAATATTAAAATTGGTTGACAGAAATTTCATCAACTTGCAAGAAACTTTTAACCTGGGCCAACAGAAAACATCCCCAAATGAGATTTTTGAAAGCAACATTTCGGATTCAAAAATGGTTAGGAGGAGTAAAGTAGCTTTTGATTTATAGTTAGGGGGATTCCATCTAAGGGTTAGGAGCAATCAAAAAGGTTAAGGAGAGACAAGGGCTAGGTTAGGGTTAGGGTTAAACTGTGCTTTTGGGGACGTTTTCTGTCATATCCCTTTTAACCAGCTCTCAAGAATGTTATGTAGAGCATTTGTGCAGAGGAATAGGATGATAACTTTATTAAGTCCTATCTTACCTCAGTTGTCTACAGTTTTATCTGAAGAAAAAGGAATACATAGCACTTGACTGGGAGACCTCACAACAATTAATTATTGTATACAACACAAATCTATTAAGATCATATGTGACACAAACATTATTGTTAAATATCGTAAATGTTCAAAAACAGCTATTGGCCAAGTATATGGAGTTAATGCTCTCAGTGGAGCTCATAACCCATCAGATGCATGAAATCAGCCAAAAAGATATAATCTATGGCAAATGTAACACTGAACAAAATCTTTTCAAGGTAAAAGATAATCCCTATGATAGTCAGAGTAACAACAAACAGCAAATATTTCTTCATTATTCTGCAAATGGATGTAAATTCAGGAAAGTGGCTGCTCAATCAATAAGATTAAAGATTTCAAATAAGCTGGAAGAACACCAATTAGATATTGAAAGACTCTCAGAACTTTTGAAATTAGGCATTAAAGAAGCTGTTGGAAAAAAGGGTGTACAGCTACAGCAAGTATTTGATTATGTGACAAGTAAGATTGATCAATATTGGTTCAACTTTCTCCACTAATACACATCAAACTGTGAATATTGCTCTAAATCAAGTTTGTTATTCGTCTAGCAAAGAGAGCAACCAAAAAGGAAAACAACTGGCATTGGACGGATCTTTTGATCAATATTCATACTTTAGCTCTACTACTAATCCTTTGGAAAATGAATGGTGGATGGTTGTATTTTCAAACAGTTATTTTGTGAGGACAATCAGAATTTTAAATCCTAAACATCATTCAATGTCAAATGTTGCATTTTTGACTAGTATTGAAGATACTAACCCTAATAATATCAATTCTTTTACACTGTGCAATCAAGGTTCAGTTGGATCAATGCAATCTCTAACTGTTGATTGTTTGAATGGACCGCAATATTCCAAATTGACTGTTGTTAAACTTGAATCTGTCAATAAGAAATTAACTATATCTGAAATTGAAATTTGGACAATGAGAGATATTGATAGGAATAAACTCAATGTCTTACCACTAATTGTCAATGAACAAACCGGGAATGATGGTCAAAGTTTCTCCTCTTGGGAGGATCCATTCTGTTCATGGACAGGTTCAATTGTTCCAAGTTGGTGGGTAATAGACTTGGAAATAGAGAGTGAAATATATGCTGTGTCATTGGTAAATAGAAATTACGCTCTTGAACGTCTAAGTCAATCAAAAATAATAATATCAAATAATGTTTTAACGAATCCTCCTTGGCAACCCGAAATATTATGTAACACAATAGATGACGCTACTTTATACATGACCAGACGTTGTCCTAAATATACAATTGGTAGATATCTTGCTCTGTTCAAGCCATCTTATGTTTCATCTTCTGGTAATGGATTGACTATATGTGAAATTGAAATATTTGGGTCAACTTTGAATGATACAGCTCAATTTACTTGGATAATAAATTCTTCATCTTCTACAATTCAAATAAATTCTAGAATGTTGTGTAACAATCAGAATGTCCAATCAATTGAAATTACTCAATATAAGAGTAAAATTGTATTGGTAGAAGTAAAAGGTATTCTTCTTTCGAAATCTTGCAAAAATGATGCTGTAAAATTGATTGCATCTCGGGGAAACAATATGGAGGAATGCCAATTGGAAGGTACTTTAGATGGATACTACTCTCAGTATGATATTTTGTGAAAATTCAAATTTTAAAAATATCCACTCTGAAATATATATCATAGGACTATGGAGAAGAAAAGTATGTAAAATTTTGACCACTTTTTAAGAAAAATCACTTCAATAATTGTTTTGGCGTAGGATTGTTCTATAAATTCAGTTTTGCAAAAAATAAAAAAAATATCAACTTAAACACTAAAATAACTAAGCATTAAGTATGGCATACCTCTTTCATATAACACAGTTTAGAATTCAAAATCTATTCAATTGTAAATAAACTACTCTTAAGTTAACTCTTCTCTATTTGAGAATACCAGTTTTCTTTAATGGACATAATGACGTTTGTTAATAACTTAATAAAATATGTAACTGAAAATTATATACATATGGCCCAAAACAAAAGTAGCTATTAACACACTGATAAATATGGGGTGGGGAAAAAATGTCCCAGGGTGGGAAAAAACGTTCTAATTGTTGGGAAAAAACATCCTAATTGTTGGGAAAAAACGTCCTAAAGCTTGGGAAAAAACTTCCTATGCCTGGCTAAAGATATACTTGGCATAATTATTGATACTTTTAATCAGAAATGTTTTTCTCTTTTGCTGTTTACTTCATTTATAGAATAAAATATTAATATTTTTGAAGAAAGGGATATGTATTGTGATGTTTTTACCAGTTTTCTCTGAATTATGTAATGCTATTAAAAGAGAAATGAATTATTTCCTTGTATTGTCTGTAAGTGAAAGATAAATTTTGCAGTTCTTGGCATATTTTCAGGCTAATTTGTTTTTTAAGCATTGAAACTCTTGTATTGATTTGGTTTTTTTGAATATTACAAGATAATATATTTTTTTAAGAACCCTTCTCTCCTGTCAGTTATTATTTATAATTTTTGTATTGGCAGCCATGTTTGATATTTGAAAGTTAATTTATTTTTACAGAAACATTGAAAGTACTTGGATTAAGCATTCAATTTGGACACCAAATTGTTGGTCTGTATTTGGTCTTGCCATCAGCACCAACAATGATGCTGAAGGATGGCACAGAAGAATAAATGAAAAGACTCCTGCAAAAGGCTCATTTTATATGCTCATAGATATTTTAAAACAGGAATCAAGTCTTATTCCAGTTGTAGAGAAACTTCTATCAGAAAAAAGGCTAAAGAAGTATCAGAAGAAAAGTGCCATCCAGAAGCAGAACCAAGTATTTGCTGTTTGGGATAAATACAGATTGGGAATGGTTACATCTGCTGTCTTCTTGCAGAAGATTGCATTAATCTATTCAAACTAATTCTCAGTGTCTTAGCATAATTTTTACTTTATTCTGGTAACTTTTAAACTTTGTATAACATTCTTAGCTTTTTTCATTTTTAAGACATTTTAATAAACATATATTCATTATTAATTATTATATTCTCAGTATATTGTCTTTGGTTCCCAAAATAGAGCAATCACTTTAAAATTCAAATATCTTTTCCCACTATTTGTTTTTCCCAACCTTAGGATGTTTTTTCCCAGGGATGTTTTTTCCCAAGGACATTTTTTCCCATACTCATTCAAGATGGCTACATGTAACAATTGTTGTTTTGAATAGTTGTATTTATTGTCTGTCATCGAATTATTGTGTAGAAAACAGAATTGGAATTTACAATGAAACCAAGTTTCCAGATTCACAATTTTCTGATCATTTGCCTTATAGAGATAGAGAACCATATCATGCAAGAATTACAGATGGTAGATTGACATCATGGATGACTCTTCATTATGGAAATGGATGGCTTCAAATATATCTAGGTCAATATGAAATAGAAAATATTTCACAATAGAACATATAATTGCTTTTCAGGTGAGATCTATGATATTCACAGAATTGAAATTAGAGGCGATTGTTGGTGCAGTGATGGAAACCATGAGCCATATTATACATTAACTTTCAAATTATCATATTCATTGAATGGAGGTCAAATATTTAATTATGCAGATGAAAATGGAGGAGATAGAGTTGTTTTAAAAATTTAAATTTCAAAAGTAATTTTAAGGATTAATAATTGGGTTATTATTATTTTTTTTTGAAACAGATCTTTCATGGAAATACAATAGCAACATAAAATATAATCAATAAAATTAATTTCAACAAGAAAATTCAAGCTGATACAATAAGATTAACCCTAATGTCTGGTTTCTATGCAGCAACAGCTTTTGAATTATATTGATGTGGTAATTTTTTTGTTACTATTGGAAAAAAAAATTAGTTTATTTTAAACATTACACATTTGAAATAAGATGGCCTCTTACCATATTATTGATGGTTAATTAATTAAAATATTTAACAGCATCAAATGTAGAAGTTCTTTGCTTGCAAAGTCACAAAGCCAATGATACTCAACATATTGTATTAAACTTTTGCAAATGTCACTTAAAATCCATATAAAAAAAACACAAAAACATTCAGTCAAATATTAATTCAATTAGACTTCCTAAAAGTTGGACTCTGTAATGTTCATTTCTGGTTGATCTGAGAACAGATGCAGATGTGATAAAACCCCAAGTATTCAATGAGAAATATTCAGTTTATTTCATTAATATATTAAAAAATCAATAAAATGTCAATGTCCCAAGTGTTTGACAAATGCCAAGAATACTTTCCTAAAGTTTTATCTTGACTGTCATGCAAAAGAAAAATATATAATATACACATAGAATGTTCTTTGGTGAGAGATACAGATATACATCTGTTTGCCTTAAGTATTTTTTTGACCATAACAGATGGGGCTACTATTGATTAACACAGGAACAAAGAACATAGAAAAGGCTCCTTTGTTTTTTTTTCAAATTTCCAACTTTGATGCTATAGTGATTGGGGTTGATAATTAATCATAACTTGGCCAAACCTGAACTGACACTTAAAACAATTGTATTGTTGAAATTGAAAAGTTAGCCTATATAGCAAATGCTCATTTAATGTTTAACTATAAATGAATCTCTATAACCATATATAAGAGGAAAATAATAAAAACATGACCCAGTGAAATCTTAAATTCAAAGATGGCTTCACTTTGTCCAAATTGTGACATTCGATTTTATGGCAGACAAAAGAAGATAAAATGTGTTGAATGTCAAAAATTTTGTAATAATTTTATAGAGGACTCATTTGAAATGAATGAGGAAGAAAAAGCAGATCCAAATGAAAAATTCACACTTCTCTTTGAAGGAAGCCAGAGAGGGAAGGATATTCTATCACGTGATGGATTTGCTTTCAATATAAAGAAATGAAGTGAGTATATGATAATTTGGAGAAATAAAAAAAATTTGTCTTGCAACAATCAAAGAAAGAGGAAATATATTTGCCTCAAGTCATATACATCATAACCATGAAAAAAAGGAAGAATTTAATATCAAGTATAAAGGCAAGGAGAGAACTAAGAAGTATTTGTACTAATGGGATATGACAGAAAATGTCCACAAATCAATGCTTTTGCCCTAATCCTAACCCAGCCCTTAGCTGTACCTAACCTTTTCCATTACCCCTAACCCTCAGAGGAGACCCTCCTAACTACAAATCAGTTGCTGTTTTCTTTCACCTAACCATTTCTCAATCCAAATTTTTGTCTTGAAATTTCTCATTTTTTTGTGGACATTTTCTGTCAACCCCGTACTAATGATGTCAGGTCATCAGGCAGAAAAATTGCTGAAGATATTTTATAAAAATGTTCAGCTTAGGAGAATAGTTTGCCAAATATGGAAAATTTGAGAAAATTAGCTAATATCACCAGACAGAAGAAAAGACCTATAACATCAAATGATCCTTTTTTTGAAATAAATATTGATTTTCTTCATGACAATTTACTGCAAAACGATGTTTCATTTGGAAATCAGAGAATAATCATATTTGCTTTCAAGCAACAGTGAAACCTTTTATCCAAAAGCAAAGTTTGGTATCTGGATGGTACATTTAAGGTTGTCAAAGAACCATTTGTTCAACTTTTCTCCATCCATTCTTTTATTAAAAAAGATGAAGAAACAAAGCAGATTCCTTTTGGCATTTATTTTCATGACATCAAAGAAGAAGAAAGCATATAAACAAACATTAAGGGTAAGTTAATAAACATTTCATCTAACCTCTAAATTTCATGATATTCTTTAGGAAATTCAAACAATTACAAATTATTCCAAACCAAAAAAGCTCTTTTGCTGATTATGAGTTAGGATTATGGACCACTTTATTTTGTGTTTATCCGAATGTACCAATTCAAGAATGTGTTTTCCATTGGACACAAGCAGTTTTCAGAAAAATCCAAGTAATATATTATATTACATAGTTTTATTATATAATCATTTCATGTTTTTAGAATTTGGGATATGCAACTGACTATAAAACTAAGCTGGCCTCTAAAAATATGATGTGAAATTTATTGGCACTTCCTTTTCTTCCTTCTCAAGTAATACCCCATATTTTTTCATCTTTACCACTTCTACCATCAAAAATCATTAAAGTTCATTCAAGAACTTGGAACAGACAACTTCAACACGATTAGGACCATTTATTGATTACAAGAACCAGTGGTTATATTGATATTATCCACCGCATGCCTGGTCAATATATGGTAAAGCAATCAGAACCAACAATGATCTGGAAGGATGGCGTAATAGGTTAAACAGGAATAATCATGCAAATTCTTCATTGTATGTGATCTTTGATGAATAAAAGAGAGAAGCAGAGTTCAAGAAAGAAATTATCAAGTAAGAAAAAAGATATGTAGACAGCTAAGGAAAGGGACCCAGACAGAAAGTCCCCTGACAAAAATCTCCTGGACAGATTGTCTCTTGAGCTAGAAAAGTGAAATAATTTCTTTATTGTACTAAATAATGTTTTATTGAATTGCTAATTAAATATTAATATAAAAAGTGTTTCAAACTATTTTAAATATACCTAAAATTAGAATTATTTGATTTAAAGAAAAAAGTACTAGTTTACAGGAAGTCTTGTCCACTTCCTGTTTTTAATTCCTGGTAGCCATCTTT